CCCCAGCCGCTCAGGTAGGGAGCCGGGGCGGTGAGGGGAGAACCGGGGGGCTGGGGGTCCCGAAGGTGGTAGCGTGACAGGGGTCGAATAGATGGGTGCTGTGAGGCAAAGTGACAGTTCTTTACGGAAAGGGGAAACGCTCGGTTTGCCCAAGGGTGTGGGTGGCTGTGCCCCTTGGAGCGTAACCCAAAAATCTTCAGCCACCCAGCCTTGATACAGCCCTGCAGGTGCTTCGCCTGCTGTCCCCCAGAAGGAGCAGCATCGGACGGCTTCGGCTGGGGTGTCACTTTTTCGCCCTGTTGCGATGCACGAGAGCGCTGGAGGAGCGCGATGGGGCATGGGGCAGTGCCTTCCCCCGCCAGCCGCTGCCGTGGTTTGCATGGGCGACAGACGGTGCTGCTCGGCACAAGGGACTCTGCAGTTGGAAGTGAGGGTTTATGGGCATCGCGGTGGCCTAAGGAAAGTCACTGTGCATCACCAGCCTGCAGATCTCAGCAACTTTCATTATAATTACTGTAGTTGAAAAGGGTTGCAAACAGCGGGGTTCCCCCTTATGTTCTTTGATGCAAAGAAGCTGGTTTATCTAGCACCTAATAGGTGACACCATTTGCCTTCCTGAGTCAACCAGCGCGAGTTAATGGTGGCATTCTCGTGAATGGAGTTTTGCAGAACCCGACCATCTACGTGTCGGGAGACATGAACACTTACAGCCAAATAGAAATTATTTTAATAAAAGACCTCGACAACAGTTGTTAAATATAATGGCAGTTGTTACAGCAGGACTCACTGCTGTTACTTACCATATGCAGATTTCAAATGAGACTAAAAATAGAAGTGTCTCCTTTGACTGATTTCATAATATGCTTTTTCCTCTGTGACAACTGTTGTTCATAACTTTTAAGAATTGCATGTGGTAACTTAGGTCTCTTAATACCTGATGGTTCTCCCTTTGGAGATGAGAGAATTTAGGCACAAACAGCCAGGCCCTGTAACGTTGGGAAGGGAGAAGCGTTGAACGGAAGGCAACACTAGGAAGCTCCATAGAGTTGTCTTTTGTTTCATCCTTTGGAGTAAAAATCAGGAATCATCTGAAACCTGCCCAGTCCTGGACAACAGAGGTGAATGTCATGGGAGCTCCCACAGACAATAGCCATCCATGTTGCTTTCCAGCTCCTTGAACCAGCCTGGATCTCTTATAGCACAGCACCTACAGCAGCCATGCAGTTACAGAAGATACCGGCCCCGAGGCCTGCAGTAAATAAACCAGAGAAATCTTGTCACGTTTGACTGGGAGCATGGATCAAAGTTGCAGAGAGCATCTGCAATTATTCAGACACTTCCAAGAGCTTCTTCTGTGGTGGCCTCTGCTTCCACCAGTGCTTTCCTGGTTGGCTGTGTTCTGAAGCAGATGGTTATGGCAAATCTGTGCTACCTTTCTGCTGGCTTAACAAGGAGAAGGAAGTTGTAGCAATAAATTATAAATATAAATATTCCTATTCTTCAGCTGTTCAATATAGATGATGGGGTCAAAGAAAGTGTACAAACACACACACAGAGCAATGAGCAAGACTGGCAAACTAGTAACAATAGATGAGGAGTAGGCTGAGATTCTCAGCGACTTTTTTGCCTCAGTCTTCCCTGGCAACCTCCCTCCCGGCACCTCTCAAGTGGATGGACTGCAAGGCAGGGACTGAGGGAACAAAGTCCCTCCCGCTGTAAGAGAAGATCACGTTTGTGACCACCTGAGGCACCTGAACATACAGAAGTCTATGGGACATGACGAGACACATCCCAGACTGCTGAGGGAATTGGCTGATGTAGTTGCCAAGCCACTCTCCATGATATTTGAAAAGTCATGGCAGTCAGGTGATGCCCCCGGTGGCTGGAAAAAGGGGAACACTGCACCCATTTTAAAAAAGGGTAGAAAGGAGGACCCTGGGAACTACTGACCTGTCAGCCTCACCTCTGTGCCTGGGAAGATCATGGAACAGATCCTTCTAGAAGCTATGCTAAGGCACATGAAGGACAGGGAGGCGATTTGGGACAGCCAGCATGGCTTCACTGAGGGCAAGACCAACCTAGTGGTCTTCAATGATGGACTGACTGCATCAGTGGACAAGGGAAGAGTTACTGATCTCGTCTGTCTGGAGTTCTGTAAGGCCTTTGACACGGTCCCCCACAACATCCTTCTCCCAGAATTGGAGAGATATAGATTTGATGGGTGGACTGTTCGGCGGATGAGGAATTGGTTGGATGGTCCCATCCAGAGGGTAGTGGTCAACGGCTCAATGTCCAGATGGAGATCAGTGGCAAGTGGTGTCCCTCAGGGGTCTGTATTGGGACCAGTACTGTTTAATATCTTCAGCACTGACATGGACAGTGGGATTGAATGCACCCTCAGCAAGTTTTCAGACAACACCAAGCTGAGTGGTGTGGTTGACATACCTGAGGTATGGAATGCCATCCAGAAGGACCTGGACAAGCTTAAGAAGTGGACCCGTGTGAACCTCTTGAAGTTCAACAAGGCCAAGCACAGGGTCCTGCACCTGGGTCAAGGCAGCCCCCAGTATCATTACAGACTGGGGGATGAAGGGATTGAGAGCAGCCCTGCTGAGAAGGACTTGGGGGTACTCGTGGATGAAAAGCTGAACATGAGCCATCAATGTGCGCTCGCAGCCCAGAAGGCCAATTGTATTCATCAAAAGAAGCATGGCCAGCAGGGTGAGGGAGGTGATTCTGCCACTCTACTCTGCTCTGGTGAGACCCCACCTGAAGTATTGTGTCCAGCTCAGGAGCCCTCAGCACAGGAAAGATATGAACCAGTTGGAGCAGGTCCAGAGGAGGGCCACAAAAATGATCAGAGGGATGGAACACCTCTCCTATGAGGACAGGCTGAGAGAGTTTGGGCTGTTCAGCCTGGAGAAGAGAAGGCTCCGGGGAGACCTTGTTGCAGCCTTTCAGTACTTAATAGGGGCTTATAAGAAAGATGGGGACATACATTTTAGCAGGGCCTGTTGCGATAGGACAAGGGGTAATGGTTTTGAACTAAAAGAGGGTAGGTTTAGACTAGATATAAGGAATATATTTTTTACAATAAGAGCGGTGACACACTGGAACAGGTTGCCCAGAGAAGTGGTAGATGCCCCATCCTTGGAAACATTCAAGGTTGGTTGGATGGGGCTCTGAGCAACCCGATCTAGTTGAAGGTGTCCCTGCTTATTGCAGGGGGGTTGGAACTAGATGACCTTTAAAGGTCCCTTCTAACCCAAACTATTCTATGATGGGGTTTAGGTAGGTTGAGAGAGTAAGCAAAACTATTCTGGAAGTTGCTAAATGCTTCTCATTCTTAGAAACCATTCCCTGGAGGCAAGCTTCAGTAATTTGTAAAAAAAAGAAGAAAAAAAAAAAAAGAGGGAGGGGAGAAGAAAAAACCTACAAAGTACAGCATGTTTCTTGAAGCATGTTTCAGTGCTTGTTGCTGGAGACGCAATATCTGCTGCTCTCTTTTTCAACATGCATGTCTGTAGCTAGATTTCATCAGGACAAGGAAGCATTTCATAAAAATAAACATAATTGTCAGTTGCCCAACTGTGCCAAAGAGAGGTAGTGAGACCTTTGAACACGCATAGCCCTCCACACCCTCTGCTTTGTCTCCTTGTGTCCTAACCATGGGTACCTCTCTCCCTGGCAGCAGCAGCTTTCTTGCCTTTATTTACCACCTCCTCAGAGAAGCGCCCTTCCCTGCCCTCAGGACAGCCCTGGTCCTGTGTTACGTGGGCTGCTCCTTCATATTTGACCGGTCGTGTCACCATGCCAGTTACTCAGATACATAGACACTGGGAATGCCAGTCTACGTGTGAGGTCTGTTTCCAGTTTAGTGGGAGGTGGATATGCTCCAACTACCGAAAAACCTGGCATGCAGCACATATGTTAATAAATGAGCAGCTGATGCCATGCTGCTTAATGCTGCCACTCCTGGGCTGAATTCCCCTGTGCGCCACCGCAAACCCTGGCTGTGACACCCAGAGGGAAGCACCCCTATGGACAAAGAGGCTCTGAGGGTAGCAGAGCTCTTGTGTTACACGTCTTCGTGCCTTGCAATAGTACATGGAAAGGAAATGGGCTACAGTTTGGACCTCCATGGTACCCTGAATTCCAGCTGTAACTTCTGCTCATTGTGGCCAACATAATTTGGAGTGATATAAAAGTGGCTTCAAGGACCAGCACCTCTACGGATGCTTTTTTAGCTGAGGGAAATGGGAATATGGGCACTGAGGTGTATTTATATACCCTGCTCCCCTGATCTCTGGTCTTCAAATCAGCACCAACTCCCTAGAGAGCCCTGGAGATCAGGGAAGTGGGCACTGAAGACGATTCCCTCTCGGGACCGAGAGTCTCAAGCCAGCCCCCCCTCTCCAGTTTGTTATCGGCAGGCTGTGGGACACAGGCAGGGGCTTACCACCAGCGGAATAACCCCTGGTGCAACCAGTGTTTGTGTGCTTGCCTCTTCTCTTGCTCCAGGCCCCCTTCCACCACCTCCTCCCATAAGCAGAAATGGAAGCACTTCAAGGGCTTTGCCTGCTACTCCCCAGCTGCCCTCTCGGGCAGGGCTGGACAACCAGAGAGGTGGACCACGACCGCCGCTTCCCCCCGACCGGCCGGGCTCGGCAGCACCGCCACCACCGCCGCCGCCTTCATCAGCTGTCAGAAATGGCTTCCAGGATCCAGGTGATGGTAAGCCATCCTCCCAGTTGTTTGCCTTTGATAGAGACTGTGTAGCAGCTTTTGGCCTTAATACGTCAAAACAAGTTTGGGATAGAGGCTTTGTTTCTAGTGCAGACCTTTGATTTCTGACCAACACAGGTGTCATTTGGGTCTCAATTAACCTTGCCAATTAAGAACAGAGTAAATATGCCATACATAGAGCAGAACTGCAAAGTTGTCAATATCATCTCCAAAATAACCCTTTGAAAAATATCCTGAAAAAAAGAAACATATTCATTGTGCTTTGCTTTGTTACAATACAGAATCAAGGCCTAAGGGGATTGTTCTGACTCTGCTATGAATTCAAACCATAGCTACGCTAAGACTCTTTGGAAGTCAGAACAAGTTAGATGATGACTCGAAAGCTGAAAAACAGATGAGGGAAGAGATTGTCAGAACGTTGCTGAAAATCTCAAGTATCTGTCTTTTTGCTAGTGTTTATTGAAAAGGTGAGGTCCAAGATTGCTCTGTTTTAAAGATTAATCATGCTTTCCTTTTGAATTGTTTTTTGTTTGCAAAGGACAGATAAATCTTTCAGCTAATTATGGGAGGCCAAAATTGGTATTTCTGACATTTATAAGATTACTAAAAGCAAGCAGAAAATAAAACTGTAACTCACAGTTTTGAAACATCTTCACACATCAGATAAGGCAGGTGGGTCACAGACACATTTTTTCCTGCGCAAGTCATTTGCAGGGTTCAGAACCTGCATCTCATTTACACACTGCTTTCTAATTGCAACCATAGGGAGTAAACATAGAAAAACTGGATCCCAGCAAATAACCACATGTACAACTGCTCGGCAAAACTTACTCAGCTGTTCATTACATTATGCAATTAAATACAACAATATTGCAAGAAAGTTATGGTTGCAAAGTCCTGAAGCAACCAAGCGAAGAAATTACAAAGTTTAAGATAGCCCACACTTTCTTCCTTGGGCCTCCAAATTCAAGTGCAGAACAGAGCTCCATAAACATTTCCTATTTCAATGAAGAAACTGATCAGCTTGCTCTGTTCTTTAGAGTCCTATAGACTCAGTAAGTATATCAGTAGGACCCATGTAGTCTCAAGAGATACAGTTTCAACTGATGTATTTCTCCATTTTTGACACTAGTTACATACAGGTTTCTCTGTCATCATAAGTTTTATCATAGCAGCCCCAAATTTTCTTTTTCCTGTGTAAAAATTAAGAAAGAAAAAACACCACTTATAGGACAGTGTGTTTTTAATGATGCTTTTGAGCTCTGTATATCAACAAAGTACAAATATCTGAGAATTCTATGCCCAGGAACAAAATACTGTTCTGAAGTAGGAGACACTGTGCATTTCCAGTAACACATACGTATTTATGCCTGTGTATGTTAAAAAAGCAGATCTATTATACATGCAAGGGAACGTAGCACTTATTTCAGTGGAATTATGGCTGTTTTCCTGATCTGTGATTTTGTGATAAATTGGCTAAGTGATCAGTTAAAGTTAATATGAATTTCTGTTCTCAAACCTCTCTAACCTAAAGCATCTTCTTCCCTGACTTCCCAATAAAATGCTGGTTCAATATTCAGCTATGTAAGCATTTTGCAATATAAAACATGTATTAAACATAACAGTAATGTCAATTTACTTTCCTGAAGCTGTGTCACAAAACTAACGAGTAAATTGCATGGGATTTTTTTCAGATGAATGGGAAAGCAGATTTTCTTTTCATCCTATATCTGATTTGCCACCTCCAGAGCCATATGTACCCGTGAACAGAAGTTATCCCAGTAAACTAGCAAGAAATGAAAGCAGAGGTAAGTTTGTTCCATCTCTGCTGTTGGAATTTCAGCGTATCATCCTAAAAACAATGTAAATGGGGAAGAGACTGGATGCTGAGGTTTCAAAACTTCTCAGACTAACAGCCTGGTCGTCCTTCCCTACCACAAAAAGCTAAATGTAGATTCACAGGCACAAGCCCTCTTAAACTTGTATTTGAGGGGGGAATTTTTAGGTTTTCAAGTTGGAATGTGTATTCTAAGAGTCCTCCTCTGCCATTGTAGTCAGCCCTTCTGCTACAGGCAGCCATTATCCCCTAGAACTTCCTCCTCATTTCCCGTCTAAATTCATGCACAACTCATTTATTCTTGTGCCAACATCATCCTTGAGTTTAGTTATCCTCCCTCCTTGGCATGTTAAACCCCTAATATTTTTTAAGACAACAGTCATTTCCTCCTCTCAGCTTTTGTTTTCCTGGGCTGATTAAATCGGGATGTACTACACTCTGCTTCCACGCTATGTTCTCTGATCATCAGGGTTGCTTCTGTATACATTTCAGTTTGACTTTGTCTTTTCCAATTGGCGTTACATGCTGTTCCAGTTCAGGTCTCAACCATGTCTTCTACAGCAGCATAAATGTTTCCTATCTTCATTCGTGATATTTTGCCTGATACACCCAAGGATCAATTTACTTCTTTCACAACCAGTGACATTGGTGGCTCATAGTTATCCTGTAATCATCTGTACACTCAGATGTTTCTCTCTCTCCCCTGTTGCCAAATGATGAGGTTTTTGTTTGGAGCAGAAATTCCTGTTAGTCTCTGACCCTTCACTTTGCCCTGTGAGCTTTCATCCCATTGGTATTACTCCACGAAGAAAGGCACAGTAATATATACATTTTTTATGTTTCCTTTCATGAGTTTGCAATGAAAATGTTCGTATAGGGAAAAACGTGAAGAACTTTGAAATGTTACTGTATTTAGAGCTTGCCACTTTCACTGAAATCTGCATGTGTTGCAAGTAGCACTGAGAAGGTACGGGTTCACATAAAATTGTAAGGCTAGACTTACAAGAACTATCAATCTGTTTTGAGAAGGGGACAAAGGACTAAAATACATATGTTTTCCAGACATTTGGGGATAGTGTCAGTTTAAAACTTTCTTTTACACTGTTTGAAGTTCTGATGTTGTTTAATACATTAACTGGAAACTCTACAAAGATTTTTTAGTAAAATAGCTAGGCAAGAAAATGAGCAGATCTTCACCAGTTACTGAATTAATGGGCTGGATGCAAACTCCTACTTTAAAAGAAACCTGGAGGAGTAACACAAAAAACTTACTTTCTCTTTTAGGTGGCTCTGGCCGAAAAGAAAGAGGTGCTCCCCCGCTTCCACCTATACCAAGGTGAAATGGGTTCTGGCCCATCTTTGGGCAACGTTTTTTTTCAAGTTTCCTTCAAGTCAGCTCTCCTATCCACATCATTGGAAAGTTGTCTGTTTTGCTTTATTTCCACTTTTGGCTTGTCAGCTGGAACAAACTTCAGTCTCTATTACAGAAGTAATAGATGCAGCTTATGAACTATAGTTGCTGAAAGCTATAAATTTTATTGCTTATAGTGCAAGCTGTCATGAAAAGCATTTTGTGGACCATACACAACATACGTGCATCATGCTTACTGTGTCCAGCCCTGTCCCGTTGAGAGCTCCATGGGAAGTCTGGCTTTGAATTTGATGAGAGCTGGAACAAAGCTGTTTCATTCACTTTGGGTACAGTGGCTGTATTATTTGAATGATAAAGTACAATCTATTTTCTGTTTCGGTTGCTGAAGAAAACCATGCAGCCAAGAGTCCCCTGGATCCTTCTTTGCATGGGGAACTTGGCCCATCTGCTTCTGCAAGCCATAGACCAACTACACGGTGGCCAAGAGTTCATCCTGAACAGTTTCACTTCAGCTTAGCCAAGCAAACCTTACTTTAAACAATAGATAGCACATCCTGCCCTGAGGATGGTGTGTGTCTGGCCTTGTTTTTATCTGCAGAGACTCTTCCAAAGAAAAGCACAAGTGAAGAATTCAGCAGCATAAAAATATCTTTTTTTTTTTTTTTTTTTTTTAACCATATTTGCTTGGTTTTTAATAGTGTTATGCTTTTAGTCTCCTAATTCTTTCCTACTCTGATGTGGACCAACCCACAGTCATCCGTGTCCTCTAATGCCCTCTACCTGAGACTACATGCAAAGAGTCCCCAGAAAGTAGTCTTGGTGCAAATGCAACAGTTACTGTAATTACAGGCTCCTTCTGTAAAGCATCGCTAGCACCAGTGCTCCGCAGACTGCTTTCCAGTTGTTTCTTTGGTACAATTAAATGACGGGTGTTGACTTAAAAAGCTTCCTGGGGTCACAAGTCTCAGAGAGATTGTGTGTGACTTCCATTACAGTAGAGCAGCTGAGGTCAAAAATGTCCCTAAGTGAAAGCCCTTTGATGTAGTGAAGGAGGTCTGGGGTTTGTGCGTTCAAGTGAGAGCGTTAGCTCCAAAATTTGCTGTCTGCACTGGTTCAAGAGAAATGGGAAGATTTGGCCTTCTGAGTTTACCATGAAGCCTATCTTTTCGAACTTCGCTGAAGGGAGTCTCTGCAGAGAGCTGCAAGGCGTAGATTAACAGAAGAGAAAGTAAAGTATTTAAACGTTGTGACAATTGGTTCATATGTTTAATGGCTTTTGAATTTTGTATACGAGAAAAGAGGTCATTGTCTGAGTGCATTTCACAAATGGATCTAAATGCCTTTGGGAATTAGAGTAAGGTGATAATTCTGGATTCGCTGAATTCATTGCTGAATGATAGCTCTTTGTTAATTGGACTTCTGAAGGTTAGCTCTGAAAAATTTCTCCTCTGTCTCCTCAACAGCTTCTGTTTCTTCAGCGTACTCCTTGGGATCCCTAACAAGCCTGTATCAGCAGTCATGCTTCACAGAGCATGCTAAAAAAACAAAACAAAACAGTCATGTAGGTTAAGAAAATGTTTCTTTAGCATGGGAGACATGATCCTAAGTACGCTCTGTGGCTAGAATAGGTCAGTCCTTGAAAATCTAGCCAAAGAGAGTCCGGACCCCACTGAAGTGTTTGTGCATAGGGCTTTTTGCTCTGTCAGTGGGTGTGGAGGAGCAGATCCCCTTTCTGCCCAACAGCCTGGGCAGTCACAGTGAAGGGGATGAGACAGAGTTGGATTTGGCCAGATCAAATTTAATTTGGCCTTTTCAGTGTTTGTTTACAAAATCTTGTTAGCTGTGATAGCATTTGATTATGTACCTGGTTTTTACATTTTTATATCTAATGACCTATTTTAAGTTACTATGTATGGTCTTGAACCTGCAATTAATTGCGCAGGCGCAGGGATGTTTCTACATCTAATTGCAGGATCGCGGCTGTAAGAGTTTCTTAAACAGATACTAGCGGGACCGCCATGTGACAGGTGCACCTTGGGATCAAACCCAGCGCAATACTGAATTTGTATATGTATTTTATGGATGTCACTTAAAGTGCCTGTCTTTTTGGGATATTATTATGTGAATAGAAGTCCAAATAAGATTTTTAGGATAGTAACTTAAAGGATAAATTATTGTATTCATGTTTTTAAACTGAAGCACTTATAACTTTTTAACGAACAACATTATGAATTTAAGAATACAATATTTTCAGTACCTTGACCTGCCAAATCCTTATTAATATCCAAATAGCCAAAAAAAACCCCAAACCTCCAGTAATTATACTTTTTTTGTAACTTCCTTGCTTCCAGCATAACTGTTTTACTTTGAGTAAGTCAATGAAAATGCTGCACATTGTTCTGCCAACTCTCTGCATCATTCAAAATATCCTATATTTGATGTTTTGAGCAAGGTTTTCTGACCAGAAATTCTGGACCACTACCAAAGACTTGGCAAACCAGCTTCTGTCTCACTTTAAAATATGCTGTGTAAAAAGGCCTTCAAGTCAACATGCCAAGAAACTTGAGCTGCTTGGGTTTTAGCACTTCTTTGTACTATAGAAACCTCTTCAGAATGGATGTTTGGCATATATGTAAAATAGCTCAACAATGCAGAAAGATTATTTTTTTTTCTACCTAACAGCAACTTTACTATTTATATCTTTTGCTGTAAAAGTCCCTAGATATATTCCAGAACAATGCAGCATTTTATCATTCAATATATTGCTTCATATATCAGTAGCTATTTACAATATGATCAGTATTAAAGTATTTATTTCACTATGAAGTGTTAAAAAAGACGAATACAAAACAGATTGAATCAATGGTGCCTTATGACTTTTTTAGTCAACTTTTCTGTGTCTTACTAGGAAAAATTAATAGGCGTTGCTCCTCCCAAGTCCTAATGTAAATAGTGCCGACAGTAGCATTATACAGTGTTTGAGCCAAGTCCTGCTGTTGTGACATGCTCGGCCTGCTAAATTCAGATTGAGCTCAGTGTATGGAGAGACTATTGGATCGATCTTTAGGTGAGGTGTAAGTGGGCACTGGTTACCCTCACAATCAATTGTTGGTATTGCTCTGGAAATAGAACCCTTTCCCAAAATCAGTGTCTCACGCTGCTGTCCATACAGCCCAGCTGACTTCAGCGTGGTTGCATAGGTTATTAGAGGACTAAATTTGATTCACGGCTTGCATATAAGATTTACTAGGTTTGTTTCAATGGTATTGTATTGCAAACCTTCACACCTCAAACTATCTTTTTATGTCATCACTAAGACTCGCATTGCGTGACAACGGCCAGGGATGTTCATTTTTGTTTAATTCAAGTCAGTAAATAAAATGGGAGTAACTTTTGTACCATGTGACAATAATTTCTGCTCAATATATTTGGAAGAAAAGCACTTGTTATGTTCGTTATGACTTTCTGCACCAGCCATTGGGAGAAGAGGTCACAGTGATTAATGTTCAGAGTTGTTAAAGGAAACTCAGCTTGTGTTTCAGGAAGCAAGTATTTCTGTAAATGAACTGCTTCTTAAATAAGGTCGCAAAGCTCTTGTTTAGAAGCCAGTGTTTCCCAACACTAAAAGAATCATAAGAATGATTTTTTTTTTCTGCAAGACTAAACTATTAAAGAAGTTCCTTAAATTGTCACTTAAATTGGATGGTAGTTTCTCCTTGCAGCAATAACTGTTTACATGTCACTTGTAGAAGTAGGTCTCTGTTGGAGCAGAGGGTGAGGGAACTAAGTGGCTATCGTGCTTCACGTATATTGTAACACAACAATTTTCTGGTCAGAAGTATGGAAATGGAAAGGGTACGTTTTGCCTTGGAAGCGAGGAATGCAGTTGAGTGATCAAACTGGGATCATTTCAGGCAGAATGTCAAATGTCAAGAGACCTAGAGAGGGCCCCTCAGCCACAGGATGCTATAAAGGAGATTGCTCAAGGAAATAAAAAAACAATTGGCTGAATGTTGCTATCAATACTAGAGTATAAATTGGGATATTGGGATATAAAATATGCATGTATGTAATACCAAATCGCAACAGTGTGAACACCATTGTCTCACGGTCAGGTGCAAACAACCTGTTATGGCGGTACATTGACTCTGTGTAACATATATTGTATGAACTTTAGTTTTTCAAACGGTATTCACCAGAAAATAAGGAGAATCTCTTACTTAAAATACCTGGTGACACATTAAGTGAGGCTTGTTCATGGCATGGTTCTACATGTACACTGGGAGCAAACAGGGATCTCATAGCCTGTAAGGTGGAAGTGTCTGGACTGTTCAGTTAAAATGTAAACCAGGAGCATTGGCAAAAAGGGGGAGTGTTGGAGTTACTCCGCAGAAGCAGGGCACATGTGTATCTTCTCAGTGAGTGAGTATGCAGTAGGTAGGTAGGCAGGCTAAAAGAAAAAAACGGAAACCGCATGTCTTAAAAAAGAGAGTAACCCTTCAGTATGTTGCTATTTTGAAATACTGTTTGTCTGTGATAAATATTCTTTAGTGTAAACTAATGCATGCAAAGGAAGACCTCTGAATTTGGACTTCTAAAGCCACAGACTATGAAAGAGAGAGAAACATACCTTAAAACAGGCTGAGCAGAAAGTAACATGTTTTTATCCGATGCTTAAAGTTTGAGCTTTTTACAAAATATTAATCTAGTTCTGTGAATATTTTTTTGCTTAACATTTATTTTGTATGTGATTTTGATCTCCTTATTTTTCTGTCCTATGCCAAATAAATTTTACTTTTATTTAATCGGTGGTGCGGATTACTACATTGAGAAGAACCACGGTCGCTCCATTGACAGAGAAACACACGTCGGCTTTAGCAGGAGCTTAAGAGTGAGTCTGGCGGGAGCTGGGGCGAGTTGCTCTCCTCTCCTGCCTGCCATTGCGCAGAAGCACAGCGGTAATGCTCAGAGGACTTTGGGCCTCCATACAGTGAAGATTAGACACCTGCAGATAAGGAGAAGGTAATGAGTTTAGTTTAGGATAACGAATGATTGAAAATCTGTGGTCAGTGAGACTGTACTTGTAGATGGCTGTTGCGTGAGCTATGGGCACTGGCTCTTGGCAGGGCAAGCAATCACTCTAGTTCAGCACAGACTTTTGTTCCTCTTATCTCCGCTCACTAGGCAGAAGGCTGCCAGAGAATATCAAACAAATGAAACCCTCCTTTTGACTGTA